TGGTCATTTCTGGTTCTCTTTCTGTTGCTTACTTGGACCAAGGGTCTGTCAATCTTGTTTATCTTCAAACCGAACCAGATCTCAGATTCATTGATTCATTGTATTACTTTCTTTGTTTCTATTTCATTAATTTCTGTTCTGATTTTTATTATTTCTTGCTGTACACTGGGGTTTGAATTTGGTTTGTTCCAGGTTTTTCAAGTTTTTGAGTTGCACCATCAAACCATTTATTTTTGCTTTCTGTTTTGTTTTGTCTCTTAATGTAAACCCTTAAGGCTATAAATTTCCCTCATAGGACTGCTTCAGTGATTTTGTTGTGTTGTGTTTTCATTTTTATTTAGTTCCAGGAAATTTTTAATTTCTTTCTTGATTCATTTGACCTATTCATCTTTCAGTAATGAGCTGCTTAATCTCCATGAGTTTGTGTATTTGCTGGAGATGTGTTTGTAAGTTCCTCGAGGCAAGTAGGTAGCCAGGCCCTGACAACTGAGGACCTCCAATTACCAGGCTCTGACTACAGAACCCCATAAAGGTCATAATAGACAGAACCAGCCCCTCAAGACATAGGCAAACAAGCTCTACCCTACAAAGTAAAAAGCCCAAGATCAGATCACAAAGCCCCCACCAATCCCTGAGCTTGCCCTAAGAAACTCTAAATAAAACCTGCCTTCTGCTCAGTTCTTTGCTGCTTCTTGCCCTAGCAGAGGCAGTCACCCTCTTGTGTCTTCCCAATAAATCTCTTGTGTGAAGTTTGTTACACGGCGTGACTTTGTGGCTCCTGACTGCCAGGATACCTTTCCCCTCAGAGCTGTACCACTTACGTTGATGTTGTGACTCAGATAGGCTCTCCTGGTGTCTGTGTACCCCCTTTGGGGTCTGAGCCACACTGGGATCCTATCCTTCATCTCTAGTCCACCTGAAACAGACTCACATTCTGGCTCACTGACTGCTCAGCACCCCATCCACCAGCAACAATTAGGTAAGTGTCCCCTTTGGTCAGTGTAAATGCTTCCCTGGGTCCGAAGAAGTGGTTGTTGAAGGTCCTATACCTCTCTGGTATCCCACGTCATGATCTCTAAGGCTATGGCTGGCCCTCTCCATCTCATCCCATTGCCCCATCCTTAGAGCTGCAACCCTGCAGCTTCCTTAGACCCAACTGGGCTAATGCACATTTCCTGCCTTCTTCTCCCACCTTCCCTTTGAAGCTGCCTATAATTCCACAGTTTCTCTAGACTCTTGTGGCTTTTATGACTCCATTCTCCAACACTTTCCCGTGGTTGAGACCTCATTTAAGAGCTCAGCTTTTTCATTGACTTCTGGCAGGCCTTTGTGACCGGTTGAAAGCCCTGGTGACAAGTGCTGAGTATCCTCTTCAGACTATTAGCCCTGACCGCCACTGCGTGAGGTGACAACCCTCAAAAAAGCTTAGTACTCATTTGGTCCTCCCTGAGAACTGGGTATGCCCATGCCTACAGGCTGCAGTGATATTTTTTCTCCACACCCCATCTCTCATCCATGGGAATCATGCCTTCTGTACCTTTTCATTCCCTCCTTGGGATACCTTGTAGAAAACCTCAAGCCTCTACATCTGGCACCCAACCTGAAGGGCTCTAAATTTATTTGTCCTTGCAATAAAATTTGACCTCAGTACCCCTTAGATAATCAATCCAAATGGCACCCTAGATCCCAATATTATTTATGACCTTTACGTACTCTCCAAGGGATTCAAGCTTTCTCTTTTCTCTGCTTCAAGCTGTTTGTTTTACCTGTCTTACCACCCTCCCCTTTTTTTTACTGGTCTCACCACCACCACCACCACCACCACCACCCCCCAGACACACACAGACACATTGTGTAAATATCCTGTCTTTTAAGTTACCCTTGATGGATCTGTAAGTTTGTTGCAAAGTGGGAGTCTAAAACTGGACCTAGCAGGAGGGAGTAGAAAGCAAAGGAATAGGCCAGATACAATGTGCAGATATCCTGCATATACTCCTCCCTGGCTGGTGCGTCTCTCAGCCCCCTCTTGTAGCATCCTCTGTAGCTAGGGCTCAAAAATTTCCTGTCTCTAAGTATTCTTCCTTCTCAGATTACTGGATTCAAGTATCTTTTAGGTACCTTTTAACTAAGTGTCATTAGACTGTTGTTTTATGCTGTCCCACTTCAGTTAAAAGCTGACTGTGGAGTTGGGGTATTGTTCCCCCTCCTCTAGACCCAAGGATGCTTGTTAAATTTTTTTCTCCAAAATCTCTGCCCCATATCAGGCAAGCCACCTAACTATGTGACAGAGAAAGGAAAGACAAACAATATAAAGGGACAGACTATTCCCAGATTGCTCCTCATCTCATATTCTAGTTTAACTCTCTAAAGCTTTTGCTAAGGTGTAAATCTTATCTCAGGATTTGTAAGACTATTGTATTAATTCTCTGTACCTCAAGATTTGTAGGCATATTGGATATGATTAGAAATCTGTAAAAATCTGTAACTTAAAACTTGTAACACCAGGGTTGATAGTTAAAAATCTATGCATAGGTAATCTTAAGGATACATGTGACTTGCTGCCATCTTAGCTGCTGTTCCCCATTGGGATAGAGGCAGCCACGTGACAGGTTAGGGTTGAAAAAGATGGATTTTGCCATATGACTTCACTTCCTTCTTGATGAAAAGTGACCACATGGTATAAGCCAATCAAAAAAAACAAAACCAAAAAACTCCTCCTAGCTATGAGGCTCAAATGAGATGTTTCCTCCTCTATTTTCAACCACACTAATGAGCCTCCCCCATATCCGCCTCAACCCACAGTCTTAGGCCTCCTTAGTCTCCCTTTCTCCCTCCTCAGAAATAAACTGCCCATATCTATCTTCCCAGGTTCCCACAGCTCACTGGCAGCCCTTAGTACTACTGCTACTCACTCCCATCCCACCATGGGACCCCATTTACCATACTCCCGCCCATGGTCTAAACTAGCCATTGTCCTCCCTTTGCAGGAGGTTGCCAGAGGATAGCTTGTCGGGGTACAAGTCGCCTACTCATTAAGTAAACACTCTCAAATATAAAAGGATTAGGGTCCTACACCCCTAATTCCTCCACCTTTATTAAAGAATTCCAGTATATTACCCAATCTTACAACCTTACTTTTCATGGCATTTATATGATTCTCAACAACAACCTTCTCCCCAAGGAGCACAGGTGAGTCTGGGACCAGAAATGTGCAGATGAAGTCCAGACCACTTGCCTCCTGGCCTGTCTCTGTAAGCCTGCCCTTAAAGCAGAGTTTCTCTGACCTTAGGTCCAAGCTTAAGCATGTATAGAGGAAGCCTCTAATTCCAAAGGCAAAAGTCTTAGCAGTGGCCATCAAGGAGTACCATGGGAGAGATGAAAAAGGCCTGAAAACAAAAATACCTGTTGCTAGCTAAGCCTTTTCAGCTGGCCATAGCAACTGCCTAGGCTCCCTTGCTTTCCAAAACCCAAGGACCTCCAGATCCATGCCTCATATGTGGACAGGAGGGTCACTGGGTGTGCCTGAGCCCTCCCAAACCACATTGACATGTCCAAGGTGACATCAGGGGGGACATTTGGTTGTTAGCTGCCCTTGTGTCACTTGCAGTGTGAGGACATCAAGCACAGGTTGCCCTCCAGCGGACCTCCTAGATCTGATCATAGACAACTTAGGGGTCCGGACTCTCTTGTATCTATGTAAGTATGTCTTTCTTTAGTTTGGATAAATTTTCTCCTGTGCTCTTGTTGAAGTTCTGGTCTATACCATTGACTTGGGATTCTTCTTCCTCATTTGTGCTTATAGTTTGAAGGCTTATTTTATCCTAGTTTCCCACATTTTCTGGTTGTTCCTTTTTTGATTTTTAAAAATTTTTCATAAATCCTTTCTTATTTGGTCTAGACCCTCTACTTTATTGTTGAGTCCCATCTACCTTCTGCTTGATTTGTTCTGTTTGTAAGGCTTTCGAGTTTTCTAGTTGAATAATTTGGGCTTTACAATTCCATCAGACAAGTTATTTTTGTCCCTAAACCTCAGTTTCCGATTAGGAAGTCCAGGACTGTCAAACATTCCTTTTTAGCTTTAAGATGCTACAAGTCCTTGTGAGGTATATCTAACCGGTGAGCTGCAAGCCTTGTAGCTCATGGAGAAACACAGCATGCCACTCCTCTCACCTCCTGCCTGCTTTGCCTGGCCTCACTTTTGTCCCTGTGCAGCCTCCAATTGGACCTCCTGGAGATTTAGTACCCTAGTAACTTCCTCCTTAGTCTTTGCTAAAACCCCAACCCTGGAATTTGACAGAGAAAGAGGAAACAAACTAACAAAACAGCTAAGTGTGTGGTGTGACAGCCACTCTACTACAGCTTGCAACCCTTTGTTTTGAAGACCTCACAATAGGTCGGATGTAATCTTTTTAAGGTCGCACAATAGGTTGGATGTAATCTTTATTAAAGGCTCAAGGAATGAAAAAAGTTTGCCAACCAGTAAGACACTGATTTGAGCCCAGATCTGTCACAACCCAGAAGTTACTGTTTGTCTTCATTGTCTTCATATAAACATACAAAATAACTGTTGATCATCCCTTTTTTGTTGTTGTTGTTGTCAGTACTAAATTACATATTTGAATTACTAAGATCTTTCAAATTAACATAAACAGAAATTGAGTTATGGAGAATTACTCGAGTAAAGAAAAGCAATTTTAAGTAACTGAAGCCTAAAAGTTGCCCAGTTTTTTCATTAACTTTACTCATTTATTCAAATGTTTCCTAACTAATACTAATATTCTAGCAAAGAAAAATACTAGATTCATTTGTAATTGTTACTCTGCTTATATTCTTGTCTCTGAAAAAGTTTGTGTGACATAAGGCATTTTCTGGGCACATGCCATTTATTAAGTAAATACTAATTGATGGAGTTAACAAACCAATGATGGCGACTAATAAATATGGAATTTTTGAATTTCAGCTCCATAAACATGCACACATTTCAATATGTAACTCATAAGATATCGTTAGCAGAGTTGTGGTACGTAAGGAAAGTGTTCCATTATCATACTTTCACTTAAGGAGGTTCCTGTTGAGAGCAGGTTCAGTGATGGCCCAGGTGGTTCTCACTAGAAACTGAGTCACATGCTCTGATGACTTAGATGGAGCCTGAGCCACTGGGCAGTACAGGAAATCAGAGCAGTAGGGAAAGGGAGAGAGAAAATACAAGTGCATTTAATTAGTTTTATTTAGCTAACTCACACAGACACATACCATATTGCCAAAGAGTTCCCTGACTGGTAGACTCTGTGTGCTGGGAAGAGTTCACTGTGGTCATACCCACTGAGGATTAAAGTCCACACTTTGGATAAGGCAGGAGGAACTTGGAGTTCTGTCTTCATTTACACCCAGCGGAGGCTCTATTTTACGGAAATCTCTAAGAACAGTCATTTGCCAAGTTCATGATTTGGTTTTGCTGTTTTCTAGGCAAGTTGACTGCAGGTAGAAAGCCCTTGCTCTATGGTCTTGTGTGCGTTTCTGAACTCTGTCCTGATATTAGATTAACCTAACTCTGAGTGCTGGTTCTACTCGATGAGAATAGGAGGGGTATGTGAGAAAAGAGCAGATGCCCTGAGGCAGGAACTATGGGTCTGAGTGGTCCCCTTCAGGACCACTGCATTTAACTGAGCATGTGCTGTCCAGATACCTTTAGTGTACTGTCTAACTGCAGAGCCACTGCCATTACTGTCTTTCTTGTGAATCCATATGTGAATTTTTTTTTCTTTAGAAGCTGGATTTTCTGATTTAGTAACATACCTTTAAGGCCCTAGGGAAATATAGTAGTTACTGCACATGCAGTTTGACCTGTGTTCAATCCCCAGAATGCATGTAAAAAGAAGTTGGCTAAAGGGATGGAAGGATGGCTCAGTGGTTATGAGCACTTGCTGCTCTTTCAGAGCATTTGGTTCCATTCCCAGTACCCACATAGTGGCTCACTACCATATACAACTCTAATTCCAGGAGATCTTACACCCTCTTCCAGCCTCCCAAGGGTACCAGTCATACATGTGGTACACAGACATATGCAGACAAGATACCCATACACATAGAAATAAATAAAATTTAAAAGAAAATAAGGTGAAACATGATTGGGGAAGATACCCAGTATCAACCTCTGACCTATACACACATACACACACCACCTCCACCACCACCACCATCATAAATATTTTTTAAAATAATAGATAGGTGTGGTGCCTCACACCTGTAATCTTGGCCCTTGGAAAAGTGAAAACAGAAAAATTACCATGAGTTTAAAGTAAATTAGCTAGGTAGTGAATTCCAGGGCAGCCTGAACTACAGAGTAAGTAATAACATGAGTTACAGTGTTCTAATAAATAAGTAAAATAAAATATAGTACATGCTGTGGTAGTATCAAAAGAGATATCCTCATCTTATCTACATTAATGACTGCATAAATTTTACAGACATAAGCAATTTGATATTTGTGGATATGGCATTTTAGAACTAATATAAGAAACACTTGGGGTAATTAGTCAATATTTGACTCTTTTAAAATTTGAACATAAAAGATGTTACTCATCTCCCCGGGCGGTGGTGGTGCACGCCTTTAATCCCAGCACTCGGGAGGCAGAGGCAGGCGGATCTCTGTGAGTTCGAGGCTGGGCTGGACTGACAGCCTCCAAAACAATACAGAGAAACCCTGTCTCGTAAAACCAAAAAAAAAGAAAAAGAAAAAGAAAAAAAAAGATGTTACTCATCTCAAATTGTTTATAGAATTCCTGATGAATTCTCTGTCCTTAGCAGAATTAAAAGTCTACTGGCATGAAATAGGCTCTCAGATGTTTACTAAATTATGTTATAGATGCTCAGGTCCCCAAACAGGTTTGTAAATCATAGCAGACTTTGTGAAAATGTCAATCTTTGTTTTTAATGAAACACCAAACTGGATAGAGTTCTCAGGTCACTGGAAGCAAATACTCTTTCTACAAATATTGACTGCCTTCAGAGCAGCAGTACACAAGGAGTCAAGAGCAAATCCAACGTCGGCTCAGCGCTTCCGTCTATTCTTGTTAGGAGCCCAGCTGCCGTCCAGCATGAGTTCACCTTTGTGAGGGTTTTGCCTAAAAGCCATTGATTGCCTCGTTATCTACTATATACTTTTTTAACATGCTACAAAAAAAGGAAAGTTTTCTTAGCCTCCTCTCTAGGATGTTTTTTCCTCCTGCCTCCTCTCTCCCTCTGCTCTCTGTCCAATGAACAAAAATGAAGCATTCCACCGAGTCTACTCTTCTGTGCTCTGTGACCTCGGCTAGCAGCAGTCCTCTGCAGGGGCAGCATAGACATGGCTGGTGATGGGTATGTGGGAGGAGATACAGACAGTAGGCTGATATTTGCAGTCCAGTACTCCCTGAAGTCTCTAGAACACTGCACTCACCAGCACTGAACCACCACCCTTTGTACATGAAGAGTTAACTTTCTGTGGGTCTGGGTCACCAATCAATACATAATGTTGTTTATCAGTTTCCAGTGTAAAGATGCTTACTTTAGTACAGTTAATTCATTAACACCAAACTCACAGAGCCAGCAGAATAATGCATGCTGGATCAAAGATTGTTCTGTCATTCATACTTTCTTCATAAGGCACACTACAGCTTTGTTGTGTGTAGGAACAAAAGGCAGTGCTTCAGAACTGTGCTTGAGAGCCATTCTAAATGGTGACTCACCAAGAAAAAATACAAAATACAAAAGCCATGGTGCTAAATAGACCATGAAAAGAACTCTTATTTATAGCATGAAAGCTGAAACATGAAGGCAAATCATCACCTTACCTGACCTCAGCTGTGTACAGTGAGCGTTGTGTAGCTCAGATTTTTCCATGCTCTGCACATGTTTGTGAATGAGCAAGAAAATGTCATAAGCATTGGATTTAGGATTACAAATAAATTTTACCACGTGGGCAAATTTGTGAATATAAAATCTTTAACAAAAATTAACTGTTTACAAATGTTCTATGTGAATTCCTTTAGAACACAATAGAAATATTAAGATAATTTACAGAATAAAACTTATTTAGTCAAGGGAAGAGGGCTCAAAGGTTAAAGTACATAAGGACCTGAGTTGAATCCTAAGAATCCATGTATAAAAGGGAGACCAGGAGTGGTGGGATGCAATTGTAAACCCAGCATTGGGGAAATGGAGTGGCTTACACTCACCAACAGCCAGTTTATCCTACTTAGTCAGCTCCCTGCCAGAAGTGGATGAGAAAAAAATATATATCAAAAAAGGCATATGGTGCCTCTGCCTACACGCACGTACGCACGCATGCACACACGCGCGACATGTACAAACACAAGTTATTTTGGATAATGACTGAAGGTTGGGACATTTAAATTGCAAGTTAGTAAAGTAGATCTTGCATCTGTAATAGTAACCACAGCACTGACTGTACTTAATGAAAGCTTTAAACAAAACTATTGTAAGTGCTTGGCTTTCCTGCCCTTGTATCCTCTAGTGGCAGTTAACACTTCTTTGTAACCTGACCTCCTTGGGTGGTGGGGAAGGAGCTCATTCTTATGTACTACCAATATTTTGTTTATAAAGATGTGAAATTCATATGGAAACATTTTGATCCTAACAAATGATCTCAGTGTTGCTCTTAGACCTTTGAGCCATTTTATGCTACCTACCAAATACAAATGACACTCTCAAGCTGGTTTTAGTTAACTATTTAATGTTGGAAATCAAGACTTTCCAGTGCAGTAACTTCTGCACAACACTGCTGTACATTATCAGTATGTTATTATGTTGACAGAAGGACAAATGGGAAACATGCACACCTAGTTTTATACCCTTGTACAGCCAAGTGGAAATGACCAAATGGCCTAAAATAATGGAACCGACCATAGCAGGAAGCTTATTTTTATTTTGGGATAAAATACTAGATTTTAAAATGTTCTTATGAGTAAATTCTATTATGAGTACTTTTATTGAAGTACCTATATTAAAAATGTGGATGATGAGCAGACAGTTTACTTGGGCATGCATGCATTAATGTCAGTGTGGCCGCTTGGCAGTCTAGTCTCCAGGAATTCCAATTAACCATGTAAATATATTTCATATCATCACATCTCACTTTGTCAGAACCCCTGCTGCTTTCTATCATTATCATAAATGCAAGTGCAAATAACAGTTATGTATTCTGATAGAAAGCAGTTGGAAACATTTCACTGTGGGACACAACACTTTGAGATTGTGTACATCTGTTCAAATAATGTATCCAGCCCTGGTGACATGAACACAAGGTTGGAAACATCTGCCCTTGAGACCATTTGCCATATAGCAGATGCCTGCATCTTTATTTATGCAGATGGTTGGTGTGATGAGTTGAGCAGGGATAAATGCCAAGTAGTTTGACAGAGGTATTTAGGTTGCTAGTAAGCCAAGAATATAAGATAGGCATTTTTGTCTTAAAAGTATAATACTGATAGGACTAGAGACTTGCAGATCTGGTAGTGCTTTTAATAGAGTTGACACACTTTTCTTGTCTTCAAATTAATTGACATCAAAGTCCTAAAGATATTTACAGAAATCCCGGTATCCAGCATATGTTAGAAAGTACTACTCAGGGTGAGGTCTAGCTCAGTGGTAGAATTCTGTGTTTGCCTAGTGTGCTTAAGGTCCTGAGTTTGATGCTGGGTTGCTACAAAGACAGAAAGAGATTTATGATTGTTTGGGTTTTGATAAACTAGTTTGATATATTTGAATACATTCCTGTTTTTCTTAATGCTTTAGAAACTGCTCTATTTTTTGGAAAGGTTAAGACTATCAACAGAATCATGAGATTTTTTTTAAAACTGGGGGAAAACATAAATGTCATGAAATTAAAAACAATTTATCAGATATTCCTTGGATATCCATTCAAATTAGGTAATATGTTTCTGAAGAATTACATGTTAATACAATTTTTTGCTGAGCATTTAATTTGTTTTAACATTGCCAATT